CCTTGTCTTGCTTTGCTTGTGTGTGCAGCTTTTGCTTTACTTATTCAACTGTCTTTATCTCAATCCAGGAGTTTTCTCACTTTCACTCTTCACATTATCTCCCCCATCCCACCAGGGGGAGAGTGAGCAACCAGCTGTGTGGGGCTGAGCTGCTGACTGAGGCAAAACCATGACAAGCCCAAACCCCACAACCCAAGACAAAATCCACAAAACTTGAAATGCCAGCAAGGTAATACGTCTTGGAGAGAAATCAATCCTCCACACAACAAGCTTTTTAAAAAGAAAAATGATTACAGTATCCTTTGGAAAGAGAGGTTACACAGGAGCATGTCTTCTCTAACCTGCGATGGGCATTTCATTCTTGTCAAGGCTACCTGTTTTGTGAGGTCTGTCAAATACAATATTGCTGTCTCCTTCATCACCTCATTTCTAGGATAATAGGCCTGAGACCTCTACCACTGTTCCAAGTCATCAGTAGGCAACAAGTGACTGATAGTCTTCAGTCTACAGGGCTCCAGCCAACAGGACTGCCAGGCAAGCCCAGACAGATTCATGATCGTGATTGATAATTTGATCTCTTACAACACAAGAGACACTAGCTGCATCATGGAGACAATGTTAGTCCAGCATTTAAGAAAAGCTTAAGTGTCTTCTCTTCCCAGACATAAACCAACAGTGTATGACTGTCAATCCTGGATATGAGGCAGCAGCACCAGTAGCCCAATTGCTGGCATTGTGACACATTTACCCACATCAAATTTTCCCTCTAGCAAGGGAATTTTTAGACATAACACAGAAACTGTAAGAGAAAGAAAGGATGATAGTTGAGCGAAATTGATCTTACAGTACAGGAAAACAAAGGACAGATTGTTTCATTTTTTTTAACCAGTGTTTTAAGTTTAGCTTTTTAGTCTGTGTTTAGAAATCTGAGGTCTGACTTCTGGACAAAACTGAGACAAGAAATACTGCTGCATTCAGTGTAAAACTTTGAAAACAAGCCTCTCATTTAAGTATGTTCTTTGACAAAGTTAGGTACCAATGGAAAAAAAAGAAACAGCTAAAGTGTTCTTTATGGGGTTTTTTGCTCCAAAAGAATAGATTAAGATGACCTCAGCTAAGGCTAACAGGATAACTAAGTTGTCCACAAGTCCTCCTGTTCTCATTTGTTAGTTATTAGGTCATTTACTTCAGCAGAAAGAGTCCCATGCTTTTTAAAAGTGTAGACAAAAAGTTGCAAGGCCAAAGGTAAGAAGGATAGACACTCTTAACCTTAATGTTCTGTCAGGAGAAAATGCCTTTTCTTTCTTACTACTCTGGTGTAAAACACTTTTTCTGACCTATTTTTTCCTCTGAGGGCACCAAAGGTTCAAGCATTCAACCAAAGTAACCATTTCGCTTTGAAGGTGTTGATGGTGGAAGCAGTGCCAGGGAGACATCGTAGCAAGCAAAAAGTTTCTGTTTGCACTTCCTGGCAGTTCTGCGCTCTGCTGTTTATTTGGCTGAAAGATGGAAGTTGTCATTTGATGAAAACATTGCATCTTTTCAGTGGAAGTGAGGCACAGCAATCACTGCAGCCACTCTGACAAAAGCAGAGTAGAGAAAAAGTGAAAACTGTACTCAAGCAACTAATGTTTTTAATGCTTTACTCAGCTCCTGAATCCAAGTAACAGAAAGAAGGGATTTAACTAGTCTCGTAAAGCTCTATAAAAATAATTGAGAACAAAAGAAGATGAAACCAGATTGACTGGGTAAACAACTGAGCCTTGACCTAATACTGCAACCTGCCTCATTTTCTGTTAAGGTAAAAAGGAAAAAAGAAGTCCCATTTTACTGCCTCTTATGGCATACAATACTGTAATCTCTTACTAAAAGCAAAGACCTACTGACATTTCTAACAAATTCTAATTCCTGGCCTTTCATGTGAGTAAAATCATCCTTTGGGAAACTAAACTCCTTTGCAAGTTCATGAATTTCAAAGTAAAACTGGAGCTAACATCTTCATTTGCAATATGCAAAGCATAGGATCGTATTTTAAAGCAGTACTTTTTCCTTTTTACAAATACAGTTTTGCTTATTTGCAGGAGCATGCAGAGAAGAAAGGCTTCAAAATTATAAATTATCCTAATTATAAAAGCCCTGCAAGCCAGCCATAACAATTACTCAGTTATTCCAAATAACATACACAAAAACACAACCAAGCCTGAGCAGTGAAGTTTACTCTTGCAAGCCAGTAAGAAAAATGACATGAAAACATGCATTTATGAGGCATACTAGACAGAAAGCGTGAGCTATTGTAGAGAAATGGAATGGGACACTTACACAGTGGCTCTCTCTCAGGGGGTCCTGATGGTTACTATGTTCTTAAACCATCTAGACAGAATAGCAGGCTGGGCAGAAGGGAGCCACATACAATCCACCAGATGATAATGCTACACAGTGTAGACACCAGCATAGCTAGGACCCATCTAAAAAGGGGTTGGAGGGGGAGGAAAAGATGAACAAAAATTCAAAAGCAAAAGCTATTGGTGCACCTTAGCTTGTTTCGAGTTCTTCAAAAGCATATTGCTCTATAACATTTACCAAGCATTTTCTTACTTTCTGTGACTGTAACAATCCATGCAACCATAAATTGTCAAATGTAGTATCCACATGTTGCTGGAATCAAAGCAAATTTTCTGAAATCCTCACTAAAGTTGTCTATTGCAAAGAAAGTCCGTATCACTCTTTTGAAAATGAGTGCGTTCTGGAGCAGTACATCTCTGACCACTTGCTGCCATCTCTTACGCAGTTTCATCAGCCTGTATTCATACATCCTACTCCACAATGGTATGTTTTAATACTAACACATTAGATCAGAGACAGATCAGTTTGTAGGAACAAACAATTTACATAAACACCCAGATGACAGGGTATATAACCTTCCTGTGTTCAAAGTAGAAAAAGCTAATTCATAATCCTTTGCCAAAGGTGCAGAATATTTCTAATTAGAACATATATAAAGTATCCATTCATTAAAGCATATAGTTTATACAACCAACTTCAATAAACGTTAACAAATATTATACACAAATCCCTTGTGACTTAAACATAAGCAATGCCTCTAGCTCTCTGTAAATGTGCCAGCTTATGGTGCTCTTATTTTGCTTATTTTTTTTTTGTCTGTGAAATAAAACTGCATAGAGAATTTAGAAGCTTCTTTTTGTTTGCTTAGATGAAATTAATCAATTTCACTGCAAGATTATTTTTAACTGTCTGAACTAAAAGGGAGAAAGACTGACACCTCTTCTACTAGGGAAGACTTCTGACTCAGGTAGGGCAGTTAAATATTCTTAGCAATATCTTGCTGTAATAATAGTAGCACGAAAAATGTAAGAAGTTATACATCAATTTTTCACCAAATTATTTCAGTACAAGCTGCACTCCATACAAGTAACTCAGGGGAACAGGAGGAGGGAAATCCAATTCCTTGTGCAACAATGCACACTATAAAATACAACTATAAGCTCTAGATCAATTATTTTAATTCTACAGAAGGACATACTAACTAGTTCTAATTAGAGCAGTGATGTTGCAGAATACTTCATGAATGGAATAATATTTTAATAGTTTATAGCCTTTCTGCATATTAAGACAATAGCTCTGAATAGATTATCTATCTACATTCTATCTACATTCACATACGAATCAACATTTGTTCTATTCAACATGCCATAAATGAGATCTTTCACAACCTTTATTACATGACTTAAAGGTGCTTTTATGAAAAAAATATTGTGAAGTAGAAACTAAGGCACTATGTGCTTTAGAAACTAATATGCAAGGTAGCTGGTCTTTACTGTGCTATTTGAGGTAACTGAGGTGATGTGTTTTGGGGTGGGTTTTTTTGGGTCAGTTGGGTACAGGCTTTGCTCTCAGTCTGCTCTTTCTTAAATGACTGGCTGTGTAAATGATGAGCATGAACAAAAGAGAATCTTTTAAAACAAAAGCAGAATACATACATAGCAATGTGTGAGGGTATCCAAAGATATATTCCTTTACCTTCAGCACATTCTTACTACATACCTCTCACTTTTTCTAAAAGTCTGATGACACTGTTTAGTCTTTAAAAACCAACCAACCAAACAAAAAAACCCCAAACCAACCAAACCTGGCCAGCAGCTGGCAGCATCATCCCCTACAGAAAGAGAGCACAACAAAAGCCAAGTTGCCTTTGGTTTGTGACTCTGGTGCTGTGTTATTTGCAATAACCTGACAGCCAGGGGTCACCATTCCTTTCTTAGCAATCAAATGAGATCCAAGTATGTCTTGAGAAAGTTTTTCTACCTACAGTTGTTAAAAGCTACAACAGATGCAAAGGTGACTATGAACTTTTCTCTTACAGGTGGTGTTTCAGTACTTGTCCAAAATAAAGAGACTAGCATACCAGGTTCCCTGACAGAAATGCACTCCTTTTGAATTTATTTACCAAAATAGTGCTACTCCCTGCCTTCCAGATCTACCAGCAATTATTCCAAAGCCCACAGAATTTAGGGGAAGTTCCTCTCTAAGGAAGAGGAAATGAAAGAAAGCTGAAGATTCTTCTTTCCACTCTTCTTGTTAGGCAGCTGACTTTACTTCAAAAACCAGTGTGTACCTTATTTCAGCCAATCAACCACCATCACACAAAGTCATATTCTTCCATTTTTGTACTACCACAGGAAAGACAAGGGAATGTTTGTGATTAAAAGTAAAGCATTCAAAAATACTACGGAAGCTGGTAAACTGCAGACTACTGGAATCAAAAACAATGCAGAAAACTAGAAATTGAGTAACGCAAGTCTTTAACAAAGTTCTCCTGCTTCCTTAGTGCTCACCAAGTCTTCAGAGAAATGATGAATCTCACGCTTGTTTTAAATAAGTAGAAGTAGCCTTGGCAACAAACTTTTGGGGGCAAAGGGAAGTATGCATAAAGAAGAAGATAAAAGTATTTCTGGCATTTATACATTCAGAAACTGACTTACGTTAGTGGAGAGGCTGTTGGAGCTTTTGCTTGCCTTCTACTTTTCAGAGCACGAAGCTTATCACCTTGTGTTACACAGTTTGTTTCATCTTCATCACTGTACTGGATAAGTGGAGGCAGGGGAGGGGTAAACCAAGATTAAAATATAGACACTTCGATATTTAAGAAATAACCTTATCATAAATCTTAAACTTAGAGTTATCCCAACAGGAAGTTTGCCAGCATAAAATCAAATGACATTCACTTGCATAAACACAATTCTGTTCTTTCCAGTTTCCTGTTTGCTGCTTTTAAACCTGTAAACCATCAAAAGGTGTCATGAATTACTTGCCTCAGAATGTTGTCTACCTTTAAAACAGTGGAAACATATTATCAAATCTTTGCTTAAGTACAGTACAATCTTCACTCATGTACAGCACTTGCCTTTTCAAAACAGCAGTACTGTTTATTAAAAGGCAGCGTCAAAAGGTATTGTAGAAGTTGCAATTATTTAGAAACTAAAAAGAGCAAAAACCCTTTCATCCCTTCCCTTTATACACACGCTCGGAAGTAACAGACAATCCAAAACAAAATCACAGTGGTTTTGATTGCAAATCGTGAGCGCTTTTTTTGTTCTAATATTTACCTAATTACTAAAGTATGATAAGGGTGCTCCTACTTCACCTACATACTGCACTTCATTTTTCATGCTTGCTGCCCATAACTTCCCACCCCCATATCTCTTGATTCAAAAAGGCCAAACAGAAAAATAATCTGATTAACATAGTTTTACTGTACCCACAGGTTTGTTCAGAACTTGAGAGATTCTCAGCAGCGGTTACAACTTTTACAAGAACATAATATTTGGAGCATTACCAGTTCAATGTCCTTTTGGATGGTCCTCCTGTTTCCCATGTCATTAATTGAAATATCATCCACTCCTGACAGAATTCTTGTTACAGCAATTTCACGGTTCTCTTTCAACTTTGCACGGAAAATATCTCCTTCCGTCCAAAGTTCTGCCTGTTTGCTGTCATAACATGGAAAAAAAGCCCAAAACACAACAAATTAATATCAAAGAATATTAAGTGTACAATAAAAGAAGGAGAAAAAGACATCTAGATCTATTTTTGAAATAATTTATAGTCAATCTACTCACTCCATCAGGAAGTGTTGTTGTGGTCCAATCACTGAACCAGGTCTATTTATTCTAATCCATGCAATAGTTTCAGCAGCTGTCATCCGATAATGCTTCATAATGTAACAGGCAATAAGTGTGCCAGTTCGTCCGAGACCAGCTGTGTAAGATAAAAGAATGGCTTCTTTTATATACCCATCTTCATCTGGAATCTGCTGTAGCTACAGACATTGTTACTTGGACACATAGTTACTTGCCTAGTTTATTAAACAAACTTGTTACTGATCAAACTTGGTAAGTGCAATTCACCATTTGATTTTTTTTCCATGTACAAGATTACTAACACATTGTTCATATGCTTTTGAATGAGGTAACCTTCCAAAGTCAGCGACTTTACAAATATCTGTAAGTCTACTTATCTTTACTTACCTATCTATCTATGAATATGTATATAGGTATGAGAATGTTCTTATGCATGGGATAAAACAGCTGGCTTTTTTCCAAAATTCTCAAAGCACCTTTTAGCAAATTGATCATAGATTGCACTGGAGAGTAAGATAGGCACTTCCTTCCCAACAGTCAAGATGATATTTTTACCAATTCTTCCACTTTGCAGTATAGTCCTGTTAAACATGCGGCAAACAGCAGATCCAGGAACAAAAATGCAGCCTTTGCAGGTCCCAGGTAAATCGGTTAAGAAAAGGCCTTTCTCCTTCAATCACAGCATTATCAGGTTCGTTAGTGAAGCAAAGTTTGTGGAGAATAAATGTCTGATAGACTATTAAAGATGGTGTGGGAAGGGAAATACAGTTCCTCTAGAACCACAGAAAACCGTATCTTTATACTAGCTGCACTGGGCATGCTCTGAGTATCTTTTCTTTGGCAGTCTAACTCTGGAGGAACAGATATTCACAGAATGCCCAGTACAGCTAGTATAAAGGGTTTCTGAGGGATAAAGATTTCTGTGGTTCTGGAAGAACACTTATACTTCATAAAGAATCTCCTCAAAAACCTGCACTGGCATTTTCAAAAGTTTATGACTTGGTATATTTAACTGTGTATTTTCAGGAAGACCTATAAACCTTGCTGGGGCTTTGAATTCCTGCTCAAAAGCATCCTTGGAAAGTGGTAACATTTTCTAGCAAAGAGCTATTAACATTGGCAGGCTCACTTTCCCCAACCTCATTCTTGGAAACAGCTGGGAAGATTTTTCTGGAACTTAAAAAAAATTAGAAATGAAGTGCAGAACAAAAGCACAGTAAGAATTGGTATGGAAAAGTTGCGGCTTGGCAGAGAAGTTAGTAACTAGATATAATGAAATTATAGTGCAAAATACCTCAGGAACTGTAACTATAAGCATCACTTGTAATATACATTGGTTTTGCACTATACCTTTGCAATGGACGGCTATAACACCTTCAGCATTTTCACAAATATTTAGAAACGTTGTAACTATTGTATCACTAGGTGTGCTTCCATCAGCAAAGAAGAGGTCAAAATGCTCAAATCCAGCATCTATAAATCGCTTGGCATCGTACAGTTTTTTGTTGAGGCGTATTATAGTGGTGACCTTATGTTTCCTGAAGTATGGGAAATAGGCCTCTGGAGCATGGTGGGGATAGCCTATTTGAAAAAAGAAGGGGTAAAAAAAAAAAAAAAAAAAGAAGAGAGTAAGGCTCAACCTGCAGAAATAAACGAAGACTCAAAAACAAGAGATGAAAACACTTTCAAAATAGAACTCATGTTCAACATAAAGAAATAGACTAACCGAAAATGGAATTTTAACATAATCACCTAGGTCAGATGCAATTAAACCAAGCATTAAAGTTTTACTGCCAGGGTTCTTATAAAAGAAAAAGAGCCAAGGAAAAAAACACACTGTTTGAGGAACAATTTTTAAAGCGTGTTCTTACTGATAACAATCAACTAAGAAAGCAGTGGGCTTCTGTCCCCCACCTCCTTTTTTAAGCATACCATTTTCAATTTTACTTCTTGAATGAGGTCCACTGAAGGCAATGAATTTGTTTGGTATTATCCAGTTAAAATCTCCATTTTCTGCTCTCTGTCAAGAGAAAATGCTTGGTTTATCATTATCCCTGTATTTTCAGGCTTTTCCTTATTGTTTCAAAATACATGCTAGATAGATGTGATGTACAATTTTTGCCAAAGGAAGTTATGTTAGTTGCCTGTTTTCTGTTCCATTGGGAGGATGCCAGATGCTATCAACCTCCCTTTTCTTGCCTGTGTTCTCCTCTTTCTAAATTAAGAGTTTTAGAACAACACAACTGATGTACTTCAGATGAAGGGCAACTTCCACTTTTTAATTTTTTATAGGTTCCTAAATTATGACCTTGGCATTATCTCTGTTCATAATTTAAATAATGACTTTTTAGCTTCTAAGAACATTTAATTTTCTCTTTACAGGTAACTGGCAGCTTTGCATTTCTGAGACTGCATATCGTCAAGGGTTGCAGTCCTTCACTGTCACATCCATTTCCCCTGCCCCAAAGGCTTGGAGTTTCCCATCCCTGCTTCCTTCTTTATCTCAAAGATTTTTATTGTACCTTTGCCATGTGTTCACAGATACATACTTTAATCACTCTCCAGAATTCAGTTAGACTTGGACTTGTATGCCCTCAAGTTTCTCATCAGGACTGCTCAAGAATATACATGACCTCTAAAAGGTGGCCAAATTCCCACTCCCTGATCATCTTCCAGGGCTTTAATAATAATGGAAAAAAGTATTTATCTCAATTTTGGTTTCTGCTTTACCTCCCATGTTTGAGGCTGACTGTGCTTAAATCTGAATTTTAATATTCTCTCTCTGACCACACACCTTTATTTAACAATCAAAGTTTAAAGAGACAAAACAGAAATGGAACCTAATTCAACAACAAAAAAAATAGCACATATTATAAACCATCATCTTAGCATTAGTAACAGCAAACAAATCACAAGATTGATACTGAACACTTACTTCATAATGCTCATATTCATTTACATCAAACGTATTGAAATCCAGGAAACCATACTGCAAAGCCTAAAATTCAGAATACAGCTTTTAACAAAGACAACACCATTTCAATGCGGACAGTTTATCACTCCTAGGTTACTGAAAGACCCTTAATACCTATTCTACTCTTTCAGAGAGATTTCCTCATATATTTGAAAAATACAGATCAATTCAGTCTTGGTTCAAAACAGATTTGTAAATTTTAATATAAGTGAAGTTAGACAAGCAAATCCACTCTTTTCTGTTTTCATTGAATCAGTACAAAATTCCTGACTACAGAATCATTCAGTCTTTTTATTACTGCTAGCAGTAAAAAAATAAAAAAGAGAAAAATAACTGGCAAAAAATATTTATTGAAATTATGAGTACATTCTGAAGTCTGCATTCAAGGATTACAAATATGTTTGTGCATGAATGCTACTCAGTCTCATTATGATGCTAATATTGTCATTGATTTTAAATTGTTTGCAGACACTCATTCCTAAGCAGACACTAGCATGGTCCCTGATGTCCTGTAATTATCCACAACCATTATATTTAATCCTGTATAAAAAATTTAAACATTTGGGTAACTGGCAGTCTACCCATTTGTTAAGTCAGGAAGCACAAACACAGATAACCCCCTATCTCCAGATATTTAAAAAACTACATTCTAATCTCCTTTTTCACTGTATAATCTTCTGTACTTTTCCTTGCTGTTCACCGGTATTAAGAAGAATAGCAATTCACCGCTCTTGGCATAGAAGCAGCCAATGCCAAAACATCCAAAAAAGCTGAAAAACACAAATCTGCAAGAAGCTCGCTTAATCAGTAAAAACACCAGTATTTGGCAGAGATACCCATCATACAAAAGCCTTTAGCAGAGTGGACAGCTGCAAAACTCCCCATTTCACTACTTGTACAGACTAAATAGAATGCATATAAATTCCCCTGTCCTTCAATGCCATGTTACTTCACGACCATATTGCTTTAAAACACTAGATTATGATAATTTGTAGTTTAAAAAAAAAGCACCTGCCTCATAATGTGTGTTCTATTTATGTTACTAAAGCAAAACTTGAAGTCATTAGCACATGCTGCAAATGCCTAAAAAATATCACTAACCAATTCAAAACCACTTTCAAAGGCTATATATATTCAGCCTAAAATGTAACACCAGGCAGGCATATAATAAACTTATCACACAACTTTTAGGGATTAGAGGTGTGACTGACTGTCCTGAAAGATTACATAAATAAAACTCAAAATTCCCTGTTTAAAATCTTCTTTAGTTGATTATATAAGTTACTGGTCAACTTCTACGGATGCTGTATCTAGAAGTTTTGTTACAGTGCATGATACATAATAAGCTAGGCAACAGTCAGAAAATGTGCTACTGCAAAGGCTTAACTGGATCCTAGCTTCCTAAGTTGCCGCCTTCTGTTGGGCAATTATTAGTGATCTTTTGCAATATGAAAAATACTGTTTTACTGACCTTGTTTATTGCATGAAAACAGTCCAGCAATGTCAGATGAAAACTGCAAGTACCAAAGGAAGCATCCCTATAACATATGACAACCAAAACAGTAAAATTATCTCATTTTAATTGAAGTGAAAGCAATTGAAGATATTTCTCTAAAACACCTTTAAAAATTGCTTCAAGATAATTACTATTACAGTGAAATAATTATGTCCAATGATCACTTCATTTATGCCACCTTGCATATTACAATAACAACAAAACATAAAATAAGTTAACAGATGACTGAAGAGTAAAATTATTCCAGTTATAGTTTTGATAAAGCTGATGTGCAATTTCCGACATGAAAACTGAAACATATATGTTTCAGATAATACAAACTCTTTGTGGCAACAGTTTATGAGTCAATTAGTATCATATTCTAACACACACTTTTAGAACATTTTCTTCTGAAGTACACTTGCAAAAAAGTGAAATTGTGATACACTGCAATTTTTTTCTTCAAAGTCCATTTAAAAAAGATGCTGCAAACATGCATTCTACGTATACGTAAACAGCATCTTAACAGAACTGTCAAGATACACATTTGTGTAGATATATTAAAACTTACTTTCCTTAAGATGCATAAACCAGTTAATGCTTAAAAATAAGGAGAAACTGGTTTTCATTAAAACCCCTTCTTTCAACTACAATTTTTTAAAGTCTGTTGATCCAAGAATGGCATGTTCTTAGTATGTGACCATTATGAGATTCCATAAGCACTGCAGAATAAGCATTCTACAGGAATACTATAGTAAAGCCAAAAAAAAAAATTTAAACTGAATCTACATCAAAGAATATTATGTCTTGGCAGAACACTTTCTTCTGAGACCATGCAGCTCTCATCAGCAGAGAATCATTAATGCTTAAAAAAAGTAAATAATAAATTGTGTTCAAACTTCAACTGAGAAGAGGAAGAACTTCTGAAGAACCTGGATAGCTGCTTTTACAATTTGTCTGTATCCTTTTTCTCCCTAATGAATCAGTGTGAAAGGTGCAGAGGAAAAAATCAGCAGGAGAAGGAAATAATAACAGAATCCCATTCAGGTAAAAGAGGACTGGTAAAGGTGACATTGTAGTGGGCATCTGCTAGGCCACCTGACCAAGATGAACAAGTGGATCAGGCCCTCTACAGACAGATAGGAGCAGCCTCACATTCTCAGGCCCAGGTCATGACGGGGAACTTCAACCACTCCAGTATCTGTTGGAGGGACAACACAGCAGGGTATAAGCAATCCAAGAGGTTCCTGCAGTGAACTGGTGACAACTTCCTCCTCCAAGTGATACAGAAACCAACGAGGAACAGTGCTCTACTGGACCTCATACTCACCAACAAGGAGGTGCTTATTGGGGATGTGAAAGTCAAAGGCAGCCTTAGCTACAGTGACTATGAGATGGTGGAGTTCAGGATCCTTAGCACAAGAAGAAGGGTGAAAAGCAAGCTGACAACCCTGGAGTTCAGGAGAGCAGACTTTGGCCTCTTCAAATATCTGCTTGGAAGAGCCTCATGGGGTAAGGCCCTGGGAGGAAGAGGGGCCCAAGAAAGCTGGATAATATTCAAAGACCACCTCCTTCCAGCATACGAGCAGTTCATCCCAATGAATATGAAGCAGGCAAAAATGCCAGGAGGCCTGCGTGGATGAACAAGGAACTCCTGGCCAAACTCAAACACAAAAAGGAAGCATACAGAGGGTGGAAGCAAGGGCAGGTATCCTGGGAGGAATATAGATACATTGTCCGTGCATCCACAGATAAAGGTAGGTAAGTTAAAGCCCACGTGGAATTGAATCTGGACAGGAATGTCAAAGAAAACATCAAGGACTTCCATAAGCACATATGCAACATAAGACTAGGGAAGATGTGGGCCCACTGCTCAATGAGACAGGTGACCTGGTTACACAGGACATCGAAAAAGCCGAGGTACTGAATGTCTTCTTTGCCTGTCTTTACTCGCAAGACCAACCTTCAGGAATCGCAAGTCCCAGAAACCAGGGGGAAAGGCTAGAATAAGGAATGTGTACTCTTTGTGGAAGAGGACCAGGTCAGGGAATACTTCTGCAAACTGGACATACCTAGGTCCATGGGCCTTGATGGCATGCACCCATGAGTGCTGAGGGAGCTGGCTGATGTCATTGCAAGGCCACTCTCAATAATCTCTGGTCAATTATGGCAACTGGGAGAAATGCCTGAAGATTGGAGGAAAACAAACGTCACTCTCAACTTCAACATCTTCATTAATGATTTGGATGAAGGAGGAGAGAGTTCCCTCAGCAAGTTTGCTGATGACACAAAACTGGGAGGAGTGGCTGATACACTGGAGCACTGTGCTGCCATCCAGAGCAACCTTGATAGGCTGGAGAAACAGGCTGACAGGAGCCTCATGAAAGTCAACAAGAAGTGTAAAGCTCTGCACCTGGGGAGGAACAATCCCTTTTACTGTTACGGTTATACTGTGGTGGTGGCAGCGGGGAAGGAATAGAAATTCAAATCATCAAAAGCCCATCTCTAGCATGAGAGCTAGCAAACACAAACACGCAAGGACTGAATTAATCACCCCATAACAATATATTTGGACAGTAAACTTGCCTCCTAAGAAGTTTCTTGGTCATTCCTTTCCGCATATCGTGGCAGCCAATGGAACGTTAGTTTAGCCCAACTTTTAGAAACTCTTGTTTGGAAGAAATTAAGAAGTGGTTCCTCTGCACGATGGATTGACTTTATTTGCTATGTTAAGCAGCACAGTATATACCACAAAGTCAAGTCTGTGGCCTGAAACAACTAAGATTACATTCCCTCAGAGTCAAGCAACCATGAACCAATGGTTTTACACATTTCCTCATTGGTAAAAGAAATACTTTAAAGTTACACTAAATCATATGAAGTTAGCCAGCATGTTTTATGCACAAAACAGTATCTGCAGGTTGCTGCATACATTTGACAAGTGGGAAAAACGGAGCACGAAAAGTATTACAAGCGATTTGTGATGAATGACAGATATTTTGATACGTTTAACTATAAACTACTGGCACAAAACCAGACTGCCAAGTGAGAAGCAACGTAGATCAAAAAGCTCAACAAGAGTGCATACCAAGCAGCATGGCTCCTTCACCTTCTGTCAGTACACTTCAGTACCAGCTGCTAACACCCCTGTTCAGCAGTCTGCACTTAAAGCTCAGGCAGTGAATGTGTCACATCTTAAAGCTTCAGCAAAAAAATATCCCAAATTAGTACTGCTAAATACTACATTCTTCTTCAAAATATCATGGTACAGAAAGTTCTAACAACTTGTAATTTACCTGAAAGGAAGATATGAGACGCTTCCAGTCAATATAAGCCTGTACACGTCTTCTGGGGATTCTCTCAGGTATATTATCTATTTTAGTGGAAAAAGACAGAAAAGAAAAGAAAAATATTATTTTAAGATTGATATTAATAACTTCAAGTCAATTGTTTATTACAGAAGACATAATTAATTATCACAGAGTTCAAAAGTTCTGAGAAAGAGTGGCATTAAGAACAAATGTATGCAAGTGTGCAACGATAAAACTAACATAATCAATATAAAATACTGTTCAACCTAGAGGAATGTCTATTTTTAAACAAAATTTATAGATTTGTGCACGTGTTGTTCAGTCACAGGCTACAGTGAAAAAGCTCTGGATTCTTCCACATTTCTACTGCAACTCTGCTGGCCCAGTTTGTAGATTTATTTTTTTTAATTAAGCTTTTAAGATTAAAATCAAAACAAAACCCCACAGAGATATCAGCAAAGCTATGAATCATCTGGTCTACAAAACAGTGTGTACACTCAGCAGACAAGATTAAAACTGTAATTCATGAATGTTTTGATTTTCCTACAGCAGTACATTTGCAGTATTCCAAATCTTGTACTACCTCCTTTGCACTGGTGAGCCAGTATCCAGTAAGTAAATCCAGATGCCATAAAGGGAAAAAAAAAAAAGTATCTGTAGCTTCAGAAGCAAAATCCTAAGAACAGAATGAAGTAACATACTTAAAGCACTACGTATCAAACTTTCTACTGTCAAAAACACTCAGAAAAGAATTCAGAAAGACCAACTCATGACAAATACCATATAGTCTTCCGTCACGACATGTCTGATACCTCTTGGATAGCCTCAAACACTAACAATTCCTTAAATAATACCACAAAACTCCTCTTTTATGCAAATCATGTCTCCCAATACCATAATTACCATCTCCAGCACAGCCAGCAGATAACAACTGTTAAGCTGTCATTAATAGGTCAATATTCAGTAATTTCAAGTTAATACTCTTCTTTAAAACTGCATTAACTAAGCTTTAACACAGCACAGAAACTTATTTTTTTCATTAACATTCAGTAAAATTATTTACATCTCTTACATTAATGACCTTTTTCCTTAGAGGTTCTTCAAAAGTAAGAATCCTAATAAGTATTAATTAAACATTGTCCAATAATCTAAGTGTGGCCTTTTTGCTTTTCAGACACACATGTGCACGCATGTGAGGTGAGATTCTTGTGAGGTGAGAATGGGAGGTTGAACAGATGTTGCTAAAAAAATAAAACCAAAAAACAAACCCAGCTTGGAACATATCTTAAACAGACAGATAAAACGTACTTGGCAACAGGTGCTTTCCCTCTGATTCAACTACTGTGTTATTTTCTGAGCATTCTTCCCGTGGAATTAGTAAAACCAAAGGAAAAAACCATCTGTCTAGTTCAAGCGATGAAAACTGCATGGGGGGTGTGTGTGTGCGCGCGCGCGCACGCGTGTGTGCTGGTAATATACAGAGAGTACTACTTGTACCACAGGCAAACAGAAATGCAGGTAATGCTAGCTAATCCTCTAAGTGCATGTGGCTTAGAAAGGTCAAGGACTTCCTCCATATCTCAGCTGAGCTTTTACCAGCTTCTTAAAGAAAACATGCTTCAACGCGAAGCATTTGTTTGCAAGTGTAACAGCTGCAAGAGGCAAGATTCCGTAATGCTAAGTGTTGTATTAACATAAGTCTAAATAACATTACAGTATACTGAAACACATTAGTTCTTAAGCACAGATCCAACTTCTGAAATTACATTACCAGTGAAGTTGCTAGAAACACCATTTTAACATACATGCGCGCGTGTATGAACTTTCCTTAACATAGTTAGTTATATGAACACTTGCTATATACAAGGACACTTAAAAAAACCCAACCTGATTTTGACAGAAAAATCCAATGTCTACCATCATTTAGTACGTACAAAAAGCACACTGCAAGAAGATGGCATTTTTCAATGTGGACAACCTACTAAGCAAAAATATGCAATACTTCCTGTACAACTGAAGCAATATACAGCATATTCGCTGGTAAAGGAAGCTCTTCGAGTTGGATTTCTCAGAATTTTCTGAAATAAAGAGATCCTGCAACACTTCAGCTGTGACACTACTAGACATATGAAAAAAAAAATGCGAACAGTTGCAGAGACAGTAGTTGATGAAATGGCCAGATGGTGTTCACAGTGAAAAGTGGCTTACAAAAAAAAAATTAGGTTAGAATGAGGATATCTGGACAGGTGCAATGGTGTGGAGTGCTTTGAAAGGGAAGAATGGCATTCAGTCTCTACACAGAATGGGAAATACCATAAACAGATACTTACTTCACAAGGAAAGTATCCTGGCAGTAACACAACACAAGAAGCTGTGACAGTCAAAGTGGAGACAGGATCAGTTTCTGTCACAGTTTAAGATGATAAAAGAGCACCCAGCTGAAAATCTTGAATGCAAGCAAGGCTGGATGGAGACTGAATATGGGTGAGCCTGCGTTCAGGCTGTGGGTCAACCAAATTCCAGACAGGGAAACAGGTAAGACTGAAGGATTGAGGGATGGAGCAGCAAAGCCCAGGAAAGCAACCGACGTCAAGGCAGCAGCGGCCACATCTGTATTATGAAGTAGCGCGCACCAGCAGAAATGCATCTGTAGACTGACAGCCAGCACTGAGGACCTGACATTTGCACTATACACTTCCAGCAGCTTTTAAACTCAACAGCCAGTCCTCGTCTGGTCCTGTGGACTGAACACCCATTACCTGTTGGGATTGCTCCTAGACGGCTCCATGAAGTGAAACAAAATACAGTGAGCAAGGTTTAAGGAAAGACTCACTTCAAAAACATGCTCCTGACACAAACTGCAACTGTATTATATATATAAAACTATATTATATAACTATAGATATCACTGTGTATAATGCTGTTTCTTACCAGCAGGAGGCCGCTAAACCTTAAAGATGAACAATTTCATTGGAATGATGTGGGTGAACAAAGGACTACAGAAAGCCAGTAAATGAGAGAAAAAGTAAAAGTGATCAGAGAGACCTGTAGTAGACAGAAATGTGGAAAGAGAGACGGACTTTCTAAGGCAGTAAGCAGACCTGAAGTTTCAGAAAAGAAGAAAATAAAAATGTTGATTTGATGAACAGCAAAACAAAGATACACTTGTAAATTCGTGAGGTATGTAGTGGGGGACAAAGAGGAAATGGGAAAAGACATAACCTCCAGAAATCAAAATACACAACAGCTGAAACCAGTTTGTCCAGATGCTGATTAAGTTATGCTTCTGCCGTGCTTTGTAGGATGATGGAAACTTTCACAATTAAAGTTGTTTTCTTAAGTTGAAAAAGTTTAAGTTTAAAAGACAAGTAGATGAGGCACTAAGGGACAGGTTTAGTGGTGGACTTGGCAGTGGTAGGTTTATGGTTGGACTCAATGATCTTAAAGGTCTTTTCCAACCTAAATGATCCTAGGTTTCTAGGATTCTAAGTTAATGCCAACAAAGCAACTAACAAGAAGTACTATTAAAAAGATGAGAAACACTAAAATAAATTTCAAGCAATGATATTAATTACTATTTAGCAGAAACGGGCATTTTCTGGGATAGTTTTTGTCCATCCTTGTATATACAACTGGAGAAAACTCTATCAGAATTTTACATTGATTTCCCACAGGGCTCCCTTTCCTGCAGATCAGGCAAATACTAAAAAAAAAAAAAAAAAAAAAAAAAAAAAAGGCAAGCAGCTTTTTAAAAAAAACTTAAGAAAATTCAGCAGACCTGAAATAAATAATCCACAAGTACAGTTGCATTGGTTTTAGAATATTTCTACAATCATACGCAAGTGCAGATGGGTGTACATACACATCTACATACATACACACAAACACACATGGAAAAACTCTTGAAATCCTTTACAAATCTTTTACTGAAGCGACTTCCAGAAAAATCGTTACTCTAAGGAACTGACATCTTTCAAGCCAAAACAACATACCATTTTATCACACTTAGGTACCAATAGTTTAGAAATTTGCTTTCTTGATGCATACAAAAAAATCCTACTGAACTTCAAAATACAGCCAGAAATTTGCGATTAGCAGTTGAACCATTAACATTGCTCTAATCATCCTTTTCATTTAGGACATCTGTTTCTAATTAAGGGACTGCAGGCAGCTCTGTGAATGGTCAAGAACCATCCAAGCGTTGAGTACTGGGAAAGGTGCACTCAAGCAACTGCTCCTGACAACATCGCTGTGTAGTCAAACAGCCACTATAACGTTCACTGAATGAAACAGAAGGGCTTGCAGGACCAGGCAACCCAGTCTTTATTTATCAGAATATAAAATCAGTCATAGAATGAGAGACCTTTTAGCAAGCTATGTTATTGTCTGATTCGTATTAACGTTTTTAAACCAGCCCTATTTTTTAAACAAAAATTTCCTAGCTTAGTGTTAAGAGCATGAAAAAGGTATTCACAGTAGGATCAAAAGTATTCCTTGTGGAAAAGGAAAGGAGGCTCTGGTTGAAAAAGACATCTTAATCTTCAATACATGGGATTGCCAAATGAAACAGTAATGCTGCATGCAAGACAAAACATGTTTGATAATAATCATCTATGACACAACTTGTTGCTTTTTCAGGAAAATCAAATAGGATATTTAAATATGCTGTACTGCTAGAAACTATATCAACTCAAGTCTGTAAATAGCAGTTTACACTCACATCTATGATGTGCTTACTGTAATCAAGTTTATTCACTGGCTCACTCTTAACTGCAAAATCTGCTTAAAGTTGCTACCTAAATCGCATTTTACCAACCATACTGACTTCAAAAGCAAGAAAATAATGAGACGATTAATTTTAAATTGCTTACAAGCAAATTTCATGCGATACAAATGTTGCAAAAATGTCACTCACCCAAAATAGTCTGAACTGCTGTAAACTGCAAATAATCACAAACTGCCCATTCTGAACAAATACAAATAACTACTGTGTGTGATCAGACTCAAACTCAAGCTCATACATTGGTGTAATTTTACTATAAAAGTTTACTATAAAATCTCC